ACTGAAGGAACTGGCGAACGGCCGACCACCCTAAGCGAGGAGTATGCCGACAATCAAGCTTCCGGGGGGCTGCGGTTTGTGGTTAACCGCAGCCTAGTTGACTAGCATCGGGGTGGTCACGATTCGAATACAATTGGTCGAAAGGGGTACCGAACAGACTGACGAAAGAACTCCTGAACGACGACCACCTATAGTCTGTGTCGCCAATTAAACTGCAGTTTCTGTGGTTAACCGCAATTTAATCACTTATCCTAAGGTGGTCGCCATTCGTATTCCGAATACGAGGCGGCAGCCATCTTTTGTCGTCGAATGCTCAGCGGGACTTGATCGTAAAACCCCTGGAACTATTATCGGCTACTGGTTAACACAAATCCCGCTGAGGTGCTGGTTGTCCCATCTGTCCGGACAGAAAGACATGAAAGCCAAACAGACAGACTTTATTCCCAGGGTTTCCCTACACCATTTGTGAGCGCAATTTGTATATTTTGTGTGCTCAGATCCAAACTGTCTGGAGATGGGTCGGTTGGGTTATTTTACTATTATAATGTGAAAGTTATGTATTTTTATCCTGTTTTCTGGTATGTAATAAAACGTGGGGATTTCATGTGCCTGGAGATAATTGAGTTACTGTAACCGTTAAAACCAATTATCTCCAGGGTAGGGGGGAGTGTTTCATAAAGTGCACTTTGTCCCTATTGGCTGTGACACTGTATTGTCCTGTGTACCATCAGGTCCTGGCCTGAAAACTTGTATTTAAGCCGTGCATGTGTACCCATTAAAACAGTTCGTTTTACCCTCAACTCGCAGCCTCGACTTGTGTTGTAGGGAAAGGTGTATCCTTGCTCTGCTATAGCTAGTGGGATGTTCTAAATTTCCAGGAATTAATACTGTATGCGGATCGGAGCGGCGCTCTCACTCTCCAAGTTCGGGAACCAGGATATTCAAGTGGTTACTTTCAATTCACCAATCAAAGTGTTGTTATGAGTCAAATTACACAGCGTGGGAAAATTTAAAATAACTTTTCCACGCTGTGTAAAATCACACAGAGCACTCTGATTGGTTGGATTTCAAGCTAACCAGAGTGCTGTGACAAGTAAATGTAGAGACTTACCCGTCGGTCTCTTCATTTACCTGTCAGAGCACTCTGATTGGATGGCTTAAACCCACCAATCAGAGTGTTCTTATCCTAATTGCAGGGCGGGGCAAGTCTTCATAAACCTTGCCCCGCCCTGCAGAGCTCAGTCTGCGCGGAGCCCTTCATGGGTGAAGATGGATTATTTTTTTTGCCCTTGGGTTTTTTGTTTTTTTTTCAAAGTGCGACGGTTATTGGTTTTTATTTGGCCTTTCTTGGGCTGAAAAAAGATTTTCGAAAAAAGAAGTCATCAAATGGTAAGTTTTATTTATGTTTTTTTTTACAGGTAGCTAATTAATGGTCCCCTCTCATTATTTTTAGGGTGAGGGGGGTAGGTAGGGGTTAAGTAATTTTTTGGGGAGGTGGGTCACCTGGGGGGTTATATTTTTATTTAGGGCCCCCACCCGCCGCTCAGGGGTGGGGGCCGGGGGGAGGAAAATAGGTCCCCCCTTATTCTAATTTAGGGCCCCCATCTGCCGCTCAAGGGTGGGGGCCGGGGGGAGGAAAATAGGTCCCCCCTTATTCTAATTTAGGGCCCCCATCTGCCGCTCAAGGGTGGGGGCCGGGGGGAGGAAAATAGGTCCCCCCTTATTCTAATTTAGGGCCCCCATCTGCCGCTCAAGGGTGGGGGCCGGGGGGAGGAAAATAGGTCCCCCCTTATTCTAATTTAGGGCCCCCACGCGCTGCTCAGGTGTGGGGGCAGGGGGGAGGACAATAGGTCCCCCCCTATTCTAATTTAGGGCCCTCACCCACCACGCAGGTCCCCCCCTTTGAAGTAATTTAGGGCCTCCACCCGCAGCCCGGGGGTGGGGGCCAGGGAGGAGGACAATAGGTCCCCCCCCTCATTCTTGTTTACGGCCCCCACCCGTCGCTCAGGGTTGGGGGCCAGGGGGGAAGAACAATAGGTCCTCCACCCCTTTTTCTGATTTAGGGCCCCCACCCGCTGCTCAGTGGTGGGGGCCGGAGGGGGGGGGCAATAGGTCCCCACATTTTTTTTTATTTTTATTTTTTTACAGTGAGCAACCACAGGCTGCTCACTGTTTAATAGATATGCCCCTACTCGCAGTATAGCGAGTGAGGCAAAATTTACTAATACTAAGTAAGTTTTACTTAGTATTAGTAAATTTGGCTGAAAGACCAATTTAGGTCTTTCAGCCTTTTGGTAGATAACTCCCTAATACCGTGGGAATTAGGGAGTTATCTACTAAGCGGCTGCAAGAGAAGTCCCGAAATTCCAAAGTGCCGAAGTTGCCTAAAGTTCTGAAGTGTCGAAGTGCCAAGCTGAAGCGAAGTCATAGAAACATGGAAACACAGAACAAAGAAACATAGAATGTGACGACAGATAAGAACCATTCGGCCCATCTAGTCTGCCCAATTTTCTAAATACTTTCATTAGTCCCTAGCCTTATCTTATAGTTAGGATAGCCTTATGCCTATCCCACGCATGCTTAAACTCCTTTACTGTGTTAACCTCTACCACTTCAGCTGGAAGGCTATTCCATGCATCCACTACCCTCTCAGTAAAGTAATACTTCCTGATATTATTTTTAAACCTTTGTCCCTCTAATTTAAGACTATGTCCTCTTGTTGTGGTAGTTTTTCTTCTTTTAAATATAGTCTCCTCCTTTACTGTGTTGATTCCCTTTATGTATTTAAATGTTTCTATCATATCCCCCCTGTCTCGTCTTTCCTCCAAGCTATACATGTTAAGATCCTTTAACCTTTCCTGGTAAGTTTTATCCCGCAATCCATGAACCAGTTTAGTAGCCCTTCTCTGAACCCGCTCTAAGGTCCCAAATTCTAAGTCCCGAATTTTGAAATGCCGAACCGAACCGAAAATTTTCCCCATGCACATCCCTAGTGGAAACAGTAGCTAGCTGGCCCTATCCCCTCACTAAGACCCAGGTGCTGGTTTTCCTAGGGACAGCCGGCTATTATAGGAAATTTGTCCGCAACTACAGTGCCCTAGCTAAACCCCTCACCGACCTGACCAAAACGTCTTTGCCCCGGCAAGTACACTGGACCCCAGAGTGTGAGGGGGCGTTCCAAGCCCTCAAGGATGCCCTGACAAATGCCCCTGTCCTGGCTGCTCCTAATCCCAGAAAACGTTTTCTTGTTCACACAGATGCCTCCATGTTTGGGTTAGGGGTGGTGCTGAGCCAGGTTGGGGATGATGGCGGAAAACACCCCGTGGCTTACCACAGCAGGAAGCTGCAGCCCACGGAGGTGAGCTACGCCGCCATTGAGAGGGAATGCCTGGCGGTGGTGTGGGCTCCCAAGAAGCTGCAGCCCTACCTGTATGGACAGCAATTTACCCTGCTTACGGATCAACCGGGTCGCAGGGGACAATGCCAGGCTGGTACGGTGGAGCCTGACCCTACAACCATATGACTTTACTATTCACTACAAACCCGGTGAGCAGATCGGTAATGCCGACGGGTTGTCCAGACAGACAGCCCTAGAGAAGTGATCTGTGAGTACTTCCCCAGACTACCCCAAAGCAGATCCGTTGGGATCAAACTGTGTATGCCGGCTTGTGGTTAAGGGGGAGCTGCGTGGCGGGAGCGCTGCCTGTTTGTGACTTGCTGCATGTCATTCCCTGTAATTTTCCCCTATATTGTGTGTATTCTTGTGGTTTACCTACTCCTCGTTCAGGAGTCCCCATACGAACGAGTTCACACTCCACACTCAAAAAAATATTTCCCGAACCCCCCGTACTAGCATTCAAACATCCGCCTAACCTGCGACAGAGATTGGTCCGCAGCAAATTGACCACAGAACAGGAACTCACACAGAATGGCACTGTACCATGCAACAAATCACTCTACAAACTGTGTCAATATATATGTTGAAATAAGTCAGCCAGACACAATAACAAATCATACAACATTAACCCCTTAAGGACCAAACTTCTGGAATAAAAGGGAATCATGACATATCACACATGTCATGTGTCCTTAAGGGGTTAAGGGATCATATTCGTGCACATCTGCGAATGTGGTGTACATGATACAGTGCACAGTGTGTGACAAAGCTTGCCACATTGGAGAAACTGGCCTTAAGCTGCATCTCAGAATGAATCTACACAGACACTCAATCAAGAACCACAAGGAAAATGGATATTGTACCCCTGTTGGTCATCACTTCACGCAGACTGATCACTCCATCCAAAACCTCAGGATTTAAGTTCTTAAAGGGAATTTCAAAGACTCTCATGAACGAAAGACATTTGAGAAGAAAATGATCACACATTTCAACACCAAAAATGAAGGACTTACTGTAGACTCTGGCTTTCTCACACACTACCAAGACGTTTAATTAACACACATCTTAATGTCTTATATAGTTCTTTTCAATATTCTCGCTTCACCTTAATTGGATCAATTTATATACATACATATATGCAGCTATATACTTGCATGCCCAGCTCTGCTGTTATCTTGTTTTGTTTTTTTTTTTTTAAACTAGCTTATTGACTCTCTCTGTTTACTTACTTTTTTGGGCTATTCTCAGTCAACCTTTCCCTTTCAGGCACATCTTCTGCTATTTATGACACCCCCCTCCCTCCCCTTCTCTGTTTTAAGGTCCAAACCCTGTAACGGATCACCTGGCACCCCGACTGGGTACCTCCGTTGAAGGATGCTCCTAGCACTTCCTGAGGGCTCTAAGCACTCCAGCCGACACCATAACCACCGTAGACTCCTTCAGAGAGCAAGATAGGAACAAGCTCTTAAAAGAGCTCAGTGATTATAGCAAGAGAATATGCAGAGCATAGCAATCCCTTGTAGCAGATTCCCACAATAAGAGACAGGACTCAGATTGAGGGTGAAGTAGAACTGAAGCTTTTTATCAAACACTCTGCTTTTATGCACATTTTACACACATAGTACTGCCCACAGGGTTTTGCAGAACAACCAATCAATACGTACAATACACTCAGACACTCTCACACAAAATCCTCCCCTCTGCCTGTGATATGATTACTGAACACAATGGTCTAACTTAATTATCACAGGCAGGAAAATACACAGTTTTACACAATTTTCATAACTCTAAAAGTATACATCACATTCACATAAAAATTACATTTTCAGAATCAGCGTACTCCAAATATACGTCAAAATCATAAAAATTGGTCCAGTGGGTCAAAAGTTAGTTGAAAGTCCCTTTGTGACCATCTGCAAGCATAGCTTGGGTGTGGTAAGCCAATTACCTCCAGCATACAGAAATTGGCTCTATTCACAACAACAGTAAAAACACATTAAAATACATAATTCCTACTATACTTAACAGAACCCCCACATTCAACCTATCCCCACATGGCTTGGATCTGAGCACTCACTATATCCGAACCGCGCTCAGATCCACAACCACAGTTATATTGCCATGGGGTTTAAAACACAGCAAGAGCTGATGAGAGACCGAGGAGGGGCAAAACAGCAAGTTCCAACTGGTCTGGCAGTGTGCCTGGGACAACGCCCTGCTGGAGAACAATGGACAGGAAACGGACGAGGGGAAGAGACACATCTTCCCATGGATTCAAATGGGCAGAAACAGTCTTTTAGAAGCCAATAAGCCCCAAATAGTCTTTTTAAATAGCAATACACCCCAGGGCCATAGTCATGAGGGAGGAGGCTGGCAATCAGGCTCCTCCAACAGCCAGGGGCAAAGGGCAGTTGGTCATATAAAAATCCAGTGACAAAAGGCATTTTGTCACAAACCCTTTTAGACCTGAGGAAGAGAGGAGAACTCTCAAAAGCTTGTCTTTGAAATATGTTACTCCAATAAAAAAAGGTATCATTGCAAACTGCAATACTCTGGTGTTTTGGCAATATATATATATGGAAATGCTGAGCCTGTGGGCGGAGCCTTTAGTTGTGGGAGGGGATATTGCTATAAATACACAGGTCGCCCCTTCCTCTGGGCTGAGACTGTCTGGGTCAGTACAGAACCATCTACTTCCGGTTCAAAGGTTGTCAACACAAACTGCCTAAACTCCTTACAAGCTGGTCCTGGCCTAGTGCGGCCCATGCAAGTATTCATTTTACCTCACTCTAGTAAAGAGTCTCTTACCTTGAAGATTATGAGGCACCGCCGTGTCCGGCACACGCGAGCATTCATTTTACCTCACTCTAATAAACAGCCTCCTCCTTTGAAGCACATGGGGCACCTCTGTGTCCGACCCAGCCACACCTGTTACTGTTCACACATTTTATTTATTTTTCGGATATGGAGAATTTCAATACTAAAGCAAATTCAAACCAAACAAGTGACACCACCAAAACGTCTACGTAGTGGAGTGCTAAAAATAGAATACACTTGCTAGATATGTGCAATTCGTTTTGTTCTGAATGTCAGTTCGGACGAATTTCGGGCAATTCGAACATTCGGATACTTCCAAATGTCCGAATAGCGGAATTGCCAAAGTTGCCGAAGTACAGAATTGCCAAAGTACTGCTATAACCAGTATAAGAATGTTACACTGTATACCAGTTTAAATAAAAGGAATACACACATAGCCAGGATTCAGCTATAAGCATTTGCAACACTTACAAGAATCAAGTAACACTGTGACAGAACCATCTGTCTGCTGGATTTTTGCCCGTTCGTCTGTTTGTCCCCCGTTCGTATGAATGGCTGGTTTCTATAGCCCAGCCATTCGAATGACTCTTTTTCCCGAACAAATCTGCCGAACGAACGGCCACCCAAGTGAGGAGTGTGCTGCTGGTTAACAAAGTGATCCCAATTAGAACGTTGTGGTTAACCGCAGACACTTCTCAATTAAACCGAACTCAGGGTGGTCGTCGTTCGTATGTCGACCACGAGGCAGCGGCCATTTTAAATCATGCGAACGCTCAGCGGTGTTTGGCTCTATTTCTATGGAACTGAAAACGGACACTTTTTCTGCCGAACACCGCTGAAACAAGGGAACGCCTGGCTGCCTCCACGAAAGCATGCGAACACCGGCCGTTCGGGAGATTGAGAGCATACAAAAGACTTAACCCAGATAGCCCTCCCATGGAGTCATTCGTATACCGAAAGACTGTAAGAACTTTGACTCCATGGCGATTGAACTATGTGTGTGGGATCTGAGCGCTATTCGCTAATAATATGCACTCAGATCCAGGCTATCTGGGGACATGTAATACTAACGGGAAATGTTCAGTTTTCATGTAGTTATGTATTTTTATGTCTTTTATTATTTTATGTTTAAGATGGCGACTGTCCTTGTCCTGGAGTTAATTGAGTTACTTGGTAATTAACTCCAGGGCAGAGGGGAGGGAATCAGAATGCACTGTGGGTAAAATATGTGACTGTGTGTCTGAAATGTCCTTCTATCTGTCTGTAGTTTAAGTCTCCCATTTGGTCCCCTAGGGGAGTGTCCACCAGGTGGGAGACCTGCATAAATACGGGCAGGTAGCCCACAGTAAAACCAGATCTTATTTGACCCTCAATGCGGAGCTTCTGTCTCGTTATTGGGGGGATTTCTTCTTCACATTTAGAGACTGCTGGATGGAACGAAAGCCGCTTTGGGGATATTATTGTTCGACGGTTACCAGCAGTTCGTACATTGCCGTTCGGGAGTTTGGAGCCGTTCGTGGATTTCGATCGGGAGATTGCCGCTTCCCCTGCATTGGGTTCGTGTGTTACAGAGTAAGCGAACGGAGACTGGACTGCAGCCGGGGAAGGTTTACTAAACGGCGGTTTTGCCTAAAGACACTGGAGGTGTCCTAACAAACACGTTTATATAAAATGTAAGTTACTTAGCCAGTCAATGGATGGGAATGAGTAAGCAGATAACTCCCTAATTCCCACGGTATCAGGGAGCTATCTACCAAAAGACTGAAAGACCTAAATTGGTCGTTCAGCCAAATTTACTAATACTAAGTAAAAATTACTTAGTATTAGTAAATTCTGCCTTTATTCGCTATACTGCGAGTAGGGGCATGTTTAGTAAAAAGTGAGCTGCTCACGTTTAAAAAAAAAACAAACAAAAAAACAAAACAAAAAACCCCAAGTGTCCCCCCTCGCGAGCCACGCAGGTGGGGGCTTTTAAAATGAAGGGGGGACCAATTGCTCCCCCTAACCCTCAACCCTGAGTGGGGCATAGGACCATAAATCAGAATAAGGGGGGGTCCTATTGTCCTCCGCTCCCGGTCCCCACCCCTGAGCAGGAATAAGAGGGGGACCTATTGTCCTCCCAGCCCTGAGCGGCGGGTGGGGGCCCTAAAGTAAAATAGGGGGGCCTATTGTCCTCCCCCCGGCCCCTACCCCTGTGTGGCAGGTGGGGGCCCTAAATACCAATATGGACCTTTTGTCCTCCCCCAGGCCCCCACCCCTGAGTGGCAGATGGGGGCACTAAATAAAAATGTTACCCCCCCAGGTGACTAGGGGTCCCCAAACTTTTAGGTACCCCCCCCAAAAAAAAACCCTACCTACCCCCCTCACCCTAAAAATAGTGAGGGGGAACAATGACTAAGTACCTGTAAAAAAGAAATAAAAGTTACCATTTGATGTCTTTTTTCTGAAATCTTTTTTCAGCCCCAAAAAGGCCAAATAAAAAACCATAATAACTGTCGCACTTTAAAAAAAAACAAAGAAAAAAACCTGAGCGCAAAAAGAAAAAATAATAAGGGGGGGTCCTATTGTCCTCCGCGCCTGGCCCTTACCCCTGAGCAGCGGGTGGGGGCCCTAAAGAAGAATAAGGGCAGGACACCTATTGTCCTCCCCACAGCCCCCACCCCTGAGCGGCGGGTGGAGGCCCTAAATTACTGTAAACTGCGGGGGAGACCTGCTGTCCTCCCACCCGGTCTCCCACCCCTGTGCAGTGTTTTCTCTGTGTTTTCTTTGGGACATTGTAGTTCATCCTTGAGTATGCATGTACTTTCTTCTTAGAATAATCATTCTTATCTCTAAGATATTTCCTCTTTTTTATTTCAATTACCCCTTTTTCCATTTTGTCTAAATTGTGTTTAATCTTTTTTCGGTTATGGTTGTATAGTCATCTGGAGACGTATTAATAATCAGAAACACTGTTACACCGAGAGCCTAGTATAACTGGCTCCCCACAAGGTGAGCAATTACTTGTCTCTGCACTTTGTTTTTATTACCTACTTCAGCAATCTTACACTAGGATATCCTGTCTCGTTTTGTCTCCCTATTGAGGACGATCTGGCCAGGAATCCAGAGAGGGTTTTGGTATTACCTAATATACCTCTGCCTAGGAGATTTGGGCCTATCCCTATGTGGCTCTATACCATGTGAGTGTGGTCCATATTCTTCCACATATCACTCTGTTGGACTCGATATACTTCACTACTTTGTACTGTTTTCTCTCTTTTAGAGAATGTTGTTACTATACACTTTCCCCAGATTTAATAGGGGTAAGTGTATTCTGTTTTAGCACTCCACTAAGTAGACGTTTTGGTGGTGTGTTCCACCGGGGTCACTTGTTAATGTGTTATTTTTCTGCCCTCCGGGTATTCCAGCACTCGTTAGACCCACATTGTTTAGTATTTATGTGGCTAGGGGTTGCAACTGTCTAAATTTATGTTGGGCCCAAATCTGGACCTATACATGTGGTTGAGGAAAAAGAAATATAAACTTTTATAAACATTCTCTGTACACAATAAAACTTAAAAATTCATATCCTGTTTAAATGTCTAAAACTCTACTTACGAAACAACTCAAACCCATAAAATGTATCATGCATTTCAGTTACCACCCTGTTTGCAATGTTTTATTTGTCTGCCCTACATTGTTTATTAATTATGTGGCTAGGAGTGTCTCACTGTATGACTCTGTCTTTATTGGTTTGTTCACTTTGTGTCCCTGTGTGTTGCCTTTGTTGGGAAACTTGCATAAAAGGCCAGTGTGCCTCCATTAAAATCCTATTCCAGCTTACACTCCAAAACTGTGTGTCGTCCCGTTATTGGAGGGAAAGAAGATTTGCTCCTGTGTCTGCTGTTCCAGCTTGCAGGGAATTCAACTGGGAAAGTCCTTTCGGCTCCAGGAAGGAGCGGTTCCAGGGCCCCAGTCAAGCCACGGCGACTGTGGGCAGAAGTGCGGCGGTTTGCATATTTATTGATTTATTTAAAATAATTTTATCCTTAAACTGTTAAGTTTAATCATCTAATTAGCCTTTCTTAATACCAAGTAAAAGTGTACATAACATATTTTGTATGCATAATCATTTTAATTTATTCCCCTTTACTCAAGGGTTATATAATATGTTTGCATCTTCCTTATTTATAATAACATTGCACTATTAATCTGAATCTTGTTACCACATTCCCCTTCTCCCCCTTTCTCCTATTTTATTTGCATTTATCTGTATGTACTTGTGTCTCTTTCTGCCTATTGAGGTAGTACTATTACTTCCCTAAGCAGAGTTTAAAATTTTGGGCATAACCCACGCCCACACAAGCATCTCCCCTCCCTCCCTTACAGCATGACTAGCTGTATGTACTTCCCAGCCGACGGCATTTAACCACGCCTCCGGCCGTATATCACACCCCTCCACCTAACACTGCACACTTCCTCTCCTCAGTTCGGCAATAGTAGCCACTTACTACATTTCCCAATACCCTCAGCGGCATGTCACGTGATTGGCCCAATTTCCAATATGGATGCCGATCACGTGACCAACTAAAATAACGATTTTACCCTATTTATAACCCTCGTTTTAATTCCTTTAGAGGAAGTTGCCCTGATCTCTAATCTATACACATGTATAATTGTTTATGAATTTTGTAAATGCACTTTATTTTATAACGCCATTTGGGCGCCAAACCCTTTTTACTGTTCAAAATCAGTCCCCCTATAAAAACCCTACCCTACCAAGCATGTTTTTTGTCTCCACTTGAGAAAGCCATCATAGGTGAAACGAGTTGTGGATATTTTACTTTGTATTCTTAATGAAGATATTTTGGCTACTTTTAACACACCTTGATTGTGCCATTTTACTTTTTTATCTACTATTTTATTTTTTGCTTGGTATCCTGATTTTATTCTTCCTGCTGAGTCTTACTCCAAAGATATCCTAGGTGGGGATTATACCACTCACGCCGAAGTCATTGAGCAGTTCGCCTGCTCAATCATATGTGAGAACCCATTTTATTATTTATACTCCTTATATACTATTTTATACAGTGAGCACTATAAGTTGTCTCCTCTCTCTTCTATGATCTATATATCAGTACAAGACTTGCCCCTCTACACATATCCTATAAGCGGGGATTATACAGCTGTACGCCATTCACACTAGAGCTGGTTCAAGCTCTACCGCACGTGAGTAGGACTATATTAGACTCTGTTGTTGCTATACCATCTTTACTAGACGTACAGCCCCATCATCTGTCTTTTTCTTCCACATACGGATCATAAGACCAATACTTCTCTACGTATCTCACAAGCAGGGATTGTACTGTTGTACACCATCCACACTAGAGCTAGTTTAGCTCTACTACACGTGAGTAGGGCTACCCGTCTTCCTGCTATCCAACCTTTTTACTAGAAGTATTTGCACTATTATCGTCTTCTCTCTTTACATACGGATCCTGGAAAGCTGTCTCCATTTGATACACACAGAGAATATCCCTCTACATAGGCCGTTGATGCCCCATCAGGCTCCACTAAAGAGTTTGTTTTGATATTACTATACTTTGGACTTTGCTCATAGTAGCTGGACTACAGCCAGCTTTGGCGCAACCTTTATTTGTCTTGTCTTGTGTATTACCTTGGCGGAGGTACCCAGCCACGGGTACAGGGAGCTCAATTCCATTGGTGGCAAGCGGTGGGATGGCTTCCTATCCTTGGGAAAACCAGCACTACTGCAGTATGGAAGGCAAGTACTACCGCGAATTATTCGGCTTCAACACCAGGCTCCAGCAGCAACTACAGGATGTGATGAGCAGTATGGTGTACCCTATCCCAGAGGATAGAGAGACAGAGTGGAGGGTGGCGCTTTGAACAGATCTCTGGTAGGAGGACCTCAACGAAATTCGACCCTTCCAGAGTGAGGAATTCCTGACCACCAACCAGTGCCAAGCGGAACATCTAGAGCTGCAGATGCTGTTCCTGGGAAACCAGCCCTCAGAGGAATGGGTAAGCGAACTGGAGACGCTAGTTGTAACGGATCACCTGGCACCCCGACTGGGTACCTCCGTTGAAGGATGCTCCTAGTGCTTCCTGAGGGCTCCAAGCACTCCAGCCGACACCATAACCACTGTAGACTCCTCCAGAGAGCAAGACAGGAACAAGCTCTTACAAGAGCTTAGTAGTGATATAGCAAGGGAGTATGACTAGCATAGCAATCCCTTGTAGCAGATTCCCCCAGTAACGAGACAACACTTCGTTTTGAGGGTCAAGCAGAACTGACTGTACTGGCACATACAGCCTCTTTTATTCCCAATCAACAAACTTAGTACTGCCCACAGGGTTTTACAGAACAACCAAAACACACGTACATTACAGAAAACACTCCCAGCAATTATACACAAAATCCTCCCCTCTGCCTGTGATATAATTATGTTACACAATGGGTTAACATAATTATCACAAGCAGGAAAAATACAGTTTTTATACATGTGCTATAACTTTAAAAATATACGTCCAATCTTCATAAAAATTACATATTCAGAATCCGCATGCTTGAAATATACACATATTCAAAAATCAGGGCAATCGGTTCAGGGGTTAAAAAGTTAAGGGAAAGTCCTATTTGACCAAATGAAGCATGGTTTTTCTGACAAAAACCAGTTCCACTGAGTCTTCTATCCTGGAGATAATTGGGAAGTAATCCAATTATCTCCAAGGACAGAGGCAAAACTCCATTAACCACATGGCAGTACAATACAGTAAAATACAATAAAATACACAAGGTTACATTTATTACATAAAATACAGACATGCAACATATCCCCAGATAGCTTAGATCTGAGCACAAATTATTACTGAATGGAGCTCAGATCACATACATACAGTTCAATTGCCATGGAGCCAAAGTCTTTCACATAGTCTTTCGTTATACGAATGGGCTCCATGGCATACCTATCTGGGGTAACACTGCTCACACAGGGAAAGTACCGAATGACCCGGTTTTCGGGTCTTTGCAGGGTAAAATCCAGCATTTCAACATGGGGTCATAGTCACAGGGCAGGAGGCTGGCAATCAGTCTTCTCCAATGCCCAGTGGCGTGGTCAGTTTCGCCACACTAGTTGAGACTGAGGTGTGGCTGGATGATTCCTACCAGGCCCTGCGGTGGCATGCTTACCACCTCTACCCGTGGCTGATCAAGTACAAGTGTATTGAGGGGGGAGACTACGATGGCCCTGGTTTGTTGTGGGATACTATTGAAACTAGTCCCTGGTTCGGAGAAACCGACGTTGTTCGCTTCTGGTCCATTCGAGCTGAGTGGGCAGACAACTGGGACCTTACTGAGATCACTGCCATTCAGCCAGACCTATCTTTTCTTGCCAACCGGGAGTGGGAACTAGAACAGGATTATGTTTGCCTATTCCAACGGGTAACGCTGCCGGTCTCTGACATGATGGGGCTTATGGACTGTGTACCACCGGGAGCGTTGAGTTTTGTCCCTCCTCCCCAGCAACTAAGCCTGTCAGGAGACCCGGGCACTATACCACCTACTTCCCAACCAACCCCGGAGATAGAAGACTATATCGACAGGTCCTGGGAAGACCCCCAGTTGGCAGGTGGAGATGGGTTCGAGGTCTCTCCACTGGCCCTACAGGGATGCTGGGCAGCTGGCCCAGATCTTCAACCCCAGGTGGAGATGTTAGGAGTGGGGACAGTCGGTCTCTCTCCCCAGTGGCAGACACAGTTATTGGGAGTGAAGATGGTCGGTCTCACTCCCCAGCGGCAGTGTGAGGTCCAGGCAGAGAAGTGTTCCGTCCTTCCTCCCCAGCGGCAGTGTATCCCAGTGTTTCCCAACGCAGTCCTCAAGGCACACCTACCAGTCCAGGATTTAGGGATTACAGGGTGTGTCTAAGGTGTTTTTACAAAGAAGAAAAAAAACACCTTAGACACAACTGGGTAATCCCTAAATCCTGGACTGGTAGGTGTGCCTTGAGGACTGGGTTGGGAAACACTGGTGTATCCAACAGGGAGTGGAGCGTGTCGCCCTTTAGGAGTGGAGATGGTCGGTCTCTCTCCCCAGCAGAAGACAGAGGTACAGGGAGAGGAGAGTATCGTCCTCCATCCCCAGCGGCAGAGTGAGTTACAGGGAGTGGAGACAACTGGTCTCACTCCCCAGCGGCAGTGTGCATTACAGGGAGAGAAGTGTGTCCCCAGCGTTACCGTGTGTTATTCAGGGCCGTCTTTAACGCAGGGAAAACGGGGCAGCTGCCCCAGGCCCAGTTTCTCTTGGGGGGCCCGAGGCACCTGCCCCGTGGGCCCCGCTGACCCCGGCGGGTGGGTGGCCGGTCGGGCAGGAAGGCGGGCGCGCGAGGGAGCACTCACTGCTTCCTCTTCAGCTCCCTCGCGCACCGCACTGATGCCGGAGCCGGAAGATGACGCCATCTTCCGGCGCCGGCATCCCTACGCGGCGCGCGAGGGAGCTGAAGAGGAAGCAGTGAGTGCTCCCTCGCGCGCCCGCCTTCCTGCCCGACCGGCCACCCGGCCAGGAGCCCAGCAGCACCACTGGACCCCAGGGAATCCCCCCAGCACTCCAAAAGGTAAGGAGGCTGGGGGGATTACATTTTAAAAAAAAATGTGTGTTTGTGTGTATGTGTGTGTTAGTGTATGTGTATGTGTGTGTGTGTGTATGTGTGTGTGTGTGTATGTGTGTTTGTGTGTTAGTGTATGTGTGTGTTAGTGTATGTATGTGTGTGTTTGTGTGTGTTAGTGTATGTGTGTTAGTGTATGCATGTGTGTGTTTATGTGTGTTAGTGTGTGTGTTTGTGTGTTAGTGTATGTGTGTTAGTGTGTGTGTTCAACACAGTAAAGGAGGAGACTATATTTAAAAGAAGAAAAACTACCACAACAAGAGGACATAGTCTTAAATTAGAGGGACAAAGGTTTAAAAATAATATCAGGAAGTATTACTTTACTGAGAGGGTAGTGGATGCATGGAATAGCCTTCCAGCTGAAGTGGTAGAGGTTACCACAGTAAAGGAGTTTAAGCATGCATGGGATAGGCATAAGGCTATCCTAACTATAAGATAAGGCTAGGGACTAATGAAAGTTTTTAGAAAATTGGGCAGACTAGATGGGCGGAATGGTTCTTATCTGCCGTCACATTCTATGTTTCTATGTGTGTGTGTGTGTGTTAGTGTATGTATGTGTGTGTTTGTGTGTGTTAGTGTATGTGTTTGTGTGTTAGTGTATGTGTGTGTTAGTGTATGTATGTGTGTGTTTATGTGTGTTAGTGTGTGTTTGTGTGTTAGTGTATGTGTGCTAGTGTGTGTGTTTGTGTATGTGTGTTAGTGTGTGTGTGTGTTAGTGTGTGTGTGTTAGTGTGTGTGTTAGTGTATGTGTGTGTTAGTGTATATGTGTCAGCATGTCTGTGTGTGTGTCAGTATGTCTGTGTGTGTGTGTCAGTATGTCTGTGTGTCAGTATATATGTGTGTGTATATCTGTGTGTGTCAGTATGTGTATGTGTCAGTATGTCTGTCAGTGCGTCAGTATGTCTGTTAGTACATGTGTATGCATGTGTCAGTATATCTGTCTGTGTGCCAGTATGTCTGTGTGTGTGTGTCAGTATGTCTGTCTGTGTGTCAGTATATATGTGTGTGTATATCTGTGTGTGTCAGTATGTGTATGTGTCAGTATGTTTGTCAGTGCGTCAGTATGTCTGTTAGTGCATGTGTATGCATGTGTCAGTATATCTGTCTGTGTGCCAGTATGTCTGTGTGTGTGTGTGTCAGTATATCAGTCTGTGTGTGTCAGTGTATGTGCCTGTGTGTGTGTCAGTATTTCTCAGTGTATGTGGGTGTCAGTATATCTGTCAGTGTGTGGGTGTCAGTATTTCTGTCAGTGTATGTGTGTCAGTATGTTGATCAGTGTATGTGTCTGTGTGTGTGTGTCAGTATGTCGGTATATGTGTCTGTGTGTCAGTATGTCTGTATATGTGCCTGTGTCAGTATGTCTGTCAGTACGTCTACCAGTGTATGTGTCTGTGTGTGTGTCAATATATGTACCTGTGTCAGTGTGTCTGTCAGTGTATGTGCCTGTTTATCTGTATGTAGTCAGTGTATGTATCTGTGTATCTGCTTGTGCGTCAGAGTGTGTACCTGTGCATCTGAGCCGCAACTTTAAATACAAATACACCCCTCCATTCAAACTTCAACACTACATATAAAACACACTCCTGCATTGAAACGTCAACACTACATACAAGCACACTCCTACATTCAAAAACAAACACTACACATAAATGCACACTTGCATTCAAACTCCAGTACCACATACAAACACATTCACACAAACATACTCCATACAAACACATGCTTACATTCAAACATACTAACATGGCTCAGTGCTAAATACAAACCTGCAAGCATGGGAAATTGGTAGAGTCCCAGCTGTCAAAGCATTGTTGGAGTTGCACGACAGATGGGGTTCTACCTTTAGTCCAACCTTGCAATTGGGGGTCCCAATAAAATTCATTCTACTTTAGTACCGCCACTGCGTTGGGATGGATGCCGTGATTGCATACCAGGGAGTGAGGGGCGAGAGCGGCAGGGCACAGGGTGCCCAAGCAAACACTTGCCCAGGGTCCATTCGTTATTAAAGACGGCCCTGGTGTTATTGAGAGAAGAGACAGTCTGTCTCTCTCCCCAGCAGCAGAGTGTCTTACAGGGAGTGGAGACAACCAGTCTCACTCCCCAGCGGCAGTTTGTATTCCAGGGAAAGAATGGTGTTGCCCTTCCTCCCCAGTGGCAGAGAGTATTATTGGGAGAGGAGATGGTCGGTCTCTTTCCCCAGCAGCAGTGTGTGTTACAGGTAGTGGAGACGGTCAGTCCCACTCCCCAGTGGCTAGGGCTGTCGCCCAGAGACAGGCCCCCTAGCCTGGATGGTGCAGATGGGACAGAGGTCTCTGCACCAGCCCTACAAGGGATGTTGGGCAGCCTACCCAGATCCACAGTTGCCCATTCCCAGCCATGGTCCAGGTGCAGGAGAGGGAACTATGGCCTACACTGACCTCCTTCGAACAGAAGAGCTGGCATCTGGGCAGTGCCCTACCTACCCCTTTGATCTGGGGCCTGATGATGCACCAACCAACCCAGCTGAACCACTGGCTATGGGACAGAGCGCCGCTGGCCTCTGCCCACCAGGCACGGATGAGGGAAACTGCACCCTCCTTCCCCAGCGAGTACTTGGTCCAACCAGGGGGAAGTCTATCCAGGTTGTTTCCCCGCAGGACATTGGATGTACAAATGGGCACTTGTGGCAGGAGGCCATCTGGACAACTACACCTTTTGGGAAAGGCCACCAGACTATCACAGACCCAGGTCCGGATAGCCTCCCCGGAAGGGGGAAGATATGTGACAAACTCCCCTCTCCAAGTGAGTTTGCCACGATCAGGGGATCCTACAGGGGGTGCATACTACCCCATTATACTACGTTATCGACAACATATCTATCCTTAAGACTCTCATTTGGCCAATCTCATGGGGTAATTGTAATACCTCATTATGTACATTATCTTTACCTCACATTAAGCCCTTCGGTTCAGCTATATCTATTTAGGCGAGTTTATTATATCCTTCATAGATCTCATATTGAAACTGCTCACATATAGCAAGGTTGTGAGTAAATGCTATCTTGGTCTTGTTTCAGGTCCAATGCCTTCACACACGACCATTCTGGGCCTTCATTTCATTCCCATCATATGGCCTTCTGTGGGAAGCCCAATACGACCAATTCAGCCCATCATTTGGGCTTTGCATAAGTACCTTCCTGCTTCATGGGGGTTATATGTATACACCATTCTTTCTTACATTTCATTACACCACTTATACTTGCTAGGCCTATACCAACCAGCCTATACAGCCCATATTCTGCCTGCAAAACTCCATTGTACGTTAATCACTTATTCTATACATTGTATCCTCACTTCACATACTGTCACTTTGTTCTTGCACAGTATTTGCAATGGTTTGTCTCAAGCCACCTACATTGAGACACCATATAATCTATTGTGTTGGTTGTATACTGCTCATCCTTTGGCATGGGCCTTATAGTCAGCCTCCACTGCATGCCACATTACCATCCTTCTAGCCTAACTACTCTTCCTACCTTTACAAATGGACTGGACCAAACACGAGGGCTTCACTATTGGCCATTTCACAACACCTGCACCTTGGTATGCTTATCCTTCTTTTGTTCGTTCAATTCATCCGTACCCCTCATACAGCCCTATTTCTCCATCCAGCAGCTCAGGACCAACATTGAGCACTCTGCCTTCTGCTAAAATACCTCTACACATGGCCCTCACTCCATATGTTTACACATGGCCCTAGACTGGCACTACGACACTTTCGGCCCATCATTTGGGCAATTACATACGTCAATTTCCTGATATACGAGAGTCAAAGAAATACAACCTTTCATACTACATTCCAATATTACACATGGCCTCATTAGGCCCACACAAGTCTTTTCCTCTCTCTTGGCACACTCCGGAAAACTTGGAACCACTATGCATTTAACATATCCAGGCCTCCTCGGTCTGTCACTATTTTAACTGTTTAGTACTTCCACTTTGAGGCACTTGCTAGTTCTGGTATTTCGCTTCCTGCAGTACACTATGAGATTTGATTAGATGTGATGGTTGGTTATTTCTCAGGGTGTTTTTTCTCATACATAGTTCAGGTCCTTCTAGTGGAAGGATGTGCAGTGGGAATTCATGCCTAGATTCAGTTCAATCAGGTATTCGGTACCAGCTTTTGATGTAAACTGTTAATTTTCAGTTACTCCACATGTCTGCACTGTTACGTCTTCTATTATACCTTTCTGTCACTATCTCTACTTGCTCCAAACTTGCGGCTGGTTATCCTCAACTTGATAATTTGTAAAATTGTACCCTCACCTCTTGACATATACTTCACAGGAGTCTTGTTGTTCAATTATTCTGGTCACCTCCTTAATGGCCTATATCATTATGCCAGGTCTCAGCAGGTATACTTTATATTATTTATTATTTATATAGCGCCAACAAATTCCGTAGCGCTGTACAATGGGTGGACTAACAGACACATAATTGAGATCAGACCACTGGACGTACAGAAACAGAGGGGTTGAGGGCCCTGCTCGATGAGCTTACATGCTAGAGGGGGTGGGGTATAGTGACACAAAGGGTTAAAGTAGGGGAATTACATAGTTTGTTACAGAAGGGTTTATTAAGTGCTTGGTAGGTCATTTTTGACACTTGCAGGAACGGAGTCATGGGGTGGGGGATGAGAAACCTGCTGACATTTTAATTGATAAGCTTTAATGAAGAAGTGAGCTTTCAAAGATTTTTTGAAGGAGTGGAGGCTGGGTGAAAGTCTGATTGAGGGGGGAAGGGAGTTCCACAGAATAGGTGCAGCCCTGAAGAAGTCTTGAAGGCGAGCATCAGAGGTGGGGATCCGGGAAGAGGATAGGCGTAGGTCTTGGGCTGAGCGCAGGGGTTTCGACGGGACATACTTGTGTATGAGGGAGGATAGGTATGTTGGAGCAGCATTATGTAGGGATTTGTAAGCAAGCGCCAGAATTTTGAATTGGGCCAAACTGGAAGCCAATGCAGGGACTGACAGAGCGTGGAGGTGTGGGAGGTGCGACCGGACAGGAAAATAAGCCTCGCAGCCACATTCATTATAGATTGCAGCGGTGCAAGCTGGGAACATGTAAGATCGGTGAGAAGGGGATTGCAGTAGTCAAGGCGAGAGAGAACAATAGCATGAACCAGTACCTTAGCCGCGTCCGGCGTTAGATATGGGCGGATGCGCGCTATGTTATACCGACCATTGCATATCTGGGGGTACTTTTGCATCTATGGTCAACTGAGTCATTTATCACACTGTTCCATTTCCTTTAGTTAGTTTGGTAACAGATAGTATTTTGTGTCCTAGGCTCATTGCACTTACTTTACCTGCCTTAACGGCAATCTCTGTTGCATTTTCATTGGTGTTGGTGTCGTATTTCTGAATTATGAACACTAAAATCTTGTGTCTCTCTCTCTCTGGTTGCATTTTGGATCTCTGTAAACATTTATTTTGCCCTCCACTTTCTATTCACCTATTCTCACCATCAACCTCTAGCATAGCTTTCATATATCTGCCAGGTGTATGTCTAATCATGCCACATTTATTGTTTTGCATTTACGTTTTTCAAGTCACCACAGTTTTACTACCTCCCTTCTTACAACAACCACTCGCTCTACAGAACTTATCTTTAGCTTGGTCTGGCTGTTACGGTACCCTAAGTGGCCATAGGTAGTGTAGCGGATCGGCAATATTAAATCCCACGAATTCCGCTGGTACAGAAAGTAATCCACAGTCAAGCGCTGAAAAGTAAGGCAATATCCCAAATCCCCCAGTAACCGGACGAAACACAGTTCTGGGAGTCAACTGAGGTCTTTATTCACATGCTCCAGTATTTATACAATTCCCCATGCAAGGGGTTTCCTGAGTCACATCACAGGGGCATTACAGGAGTGGACTACATGGGAAACAATGTACAGGGCATTTCTCCCATCAGGCACTGCTGCACGTGAGGGACACTCCCACTGGAATGTACCGTTAAGTGGATTATCCCTCCGTGCAGCAGAACTGACAAGTTACATTAAAATCTATAACTTCAATAATACTTGGCAGATTTAAACGAATGGACGTTCGGTAGATAGCTGGGGTCTGAATGCACAGTTCGTGAGAACCCCGCTCAGATCCCAGCTAAAACAACCGAACGCCGCACTAAATACACTTTGCCATAGAGTTCGCCCCAAAATACCGAACACCGATGGGGGACCCTAATGGCGAAAGACTGGAGCTCCCGAACGGCCTGGAAGCCCAGCGGTGTTCGCGCCGTCGAGTAGCCGTTTTCAGTTCCATGCGCTCGACAACCAAACACCGCTGGGAGGAACAAAGGATCCAAGATGGCCTACCGCCGCGTGGTCGGTAGCCGAACGACGGCCACCTAGGAGAGCCTCTAATTACAGATTGCAACATTGTTGCAATCGGTTAACAAGCGCCACACGTCCCTTAGTGTGTGGGCTATTAAAAGATAGTTCATTTGGTTCATGAACAGCCCGCAAAGGTGCTGTTCGTGAAACGAAACACAGTAAGGCTATCTGCTTTCGGCAGATAGCTGACAAGATCAATGAAACATACAGAGAAGGCAGTCAATTACAGCCAGGCACATAGTACAGCACAATAAAGATAAAGAACTTTGTCCAAGTTAGTCCAAGTGGCTAGTTTTGCCACAGGTAGTTTTCAACTTCTTGTGCCATTATATAGCTGTCCCGCGAGGCCAACTCCCATCCTCAACTACGGAGGTATTCGCCCCTTGGGCCAAATCATTCTTACTGCCTCGCATCTCCGCCCTCTTGGCAAGAGCAGTTAGGGCCTCACATGTCACGGCCAACTTATTTAGAATCTCTTTAATCCTCAGAGGCCAACACCCCTCCACAACGCTCGGTGGCAAACAAACCCAACGGGCCAAATCCTAGGTAGAACTTCTCATCGCCACTTGGCAACTACTTAGGTTCCCAAGTCACTAATTTAGCATAACATAGCTCAGCCAGTATCTTGGTGTAATACAGTATCTCCCACTAACAAATTTTCTTTTTCAGGTATGGTTATAAATGCTGATAAAATGTAAAGTATTGATTGTGTAATGTAAACATGTATTAAAGTGTTAAACTATTAAGTTTTTCCCCTCTCTTTACAGACCTACCCGAATGTCGATTTCGGCACACCACAACCGACTTGTGCACCACTAACATAACTCGGCTTATTGTCCCTGTAAAGGATTTCCATATACTTACCTGTGTGCCTTCAGTTATATCCCCTCCCTGCTGTTTAAATACTTTTAACCGGTTCGTTTTTACTATGTGTTTAAGAGATGTATTCTTTCTACCGAAGAGGGACCACCCTGGGTAGCAATCAGAATTTGGAACGTTGAGAAAACTGCAACATAATTGAGTGTTCCTGGGTGGCCATCATTCGGCATACGAACACGTGACGAGAACAAAGGATGGCGGCCATCTTAAATCTCCCGAATGCGGTCAGCGGGACTTATGCATGAATGGCCTGGAACTATTTTCGGCATGGCAACCACGCGAACGTCCGGTCATTATGGAAGTCCCGGCTGACTACTTTCTATTCAATAAATCAAACCAGCATTCGGGAGTTTGAATCTACCGAATGAGGGGAGCGTTTTCATATAACATGCTGCATCATTCGTATGGTAGTTTTCATGTAATTGGGCACGAACGGAGGCCGGCTCTTCCTACTGATTTCATGGAACTCTAAATCGGATACCACCACATGGTGAGCCGGTCAAACTTCCACACAATGCGACACAGAAACTACCGAATGGATTTTCGTGAGATTTGGATCTGTGACTCCCAGTATCCTCAGCTACACAGGGATGTAATTATTATATTTGTATATTATGGAGAAAGTACTTTTCTAAAAATTTTGAAAATTGTTAATGTTTCTGGCCAGCAGATAATTGAGTTTAGTATGTTCCTGAAACCCAATTATCTAGCCTGGCCCAGAGGAGGAGTCTGTTACTGTATATATTGAATGCCTGTTGCTTCCAGTAAATCAGTCTTGGTCCAGCATTAAGCTTTGGCTCATGTGTGGATTATTTGGCGATACCAGCGTTATTTTACCCTGTGGATTACTTGGTGATTTTCTTTTATGGGAAGAAGGGAATGCTTGACGGTGATACAGTTTACTACCGTCACAGTCCCCGACCACAAATTTAGTTTCTGCAGCCATTGCAAACCCCTCCCCTCTTTCCCCATCTTTCTAGAAAATTGTCCGTTCAGAGTATTCTCATTGAGTGGATTTTCATTCACAGAACTGTACTACAATATTTACAAGGGCTGTGCTAAATCAGCACTTTTATAAATTGAGGATAAAAAAGGCATTATTATTATTTATTTCACTGGTAAGTTATAGGACTGAATTCACAAGGAACCAGATCTATACTAACATGGACGTCTGTTAGAAAAGCCAGGATATCGCCTCACAGAAAGCGTAGAAGCAGGGACAACTTGCATATTTCAGAATACACATTGTGCATTAAATAGGATGAAAGGCAATCGCTGAGTATATCTTGTTTATTTATATTCCCCGACTCCAAACACGTTACTACAGGGAGTGCAGAATTATTAGGCAAGTTGTATTTTTGAGGATTCATTTTATTATTGAACAACAACCATGTTCTCAATGAACCCAAAAAACTCATTAATATCAAAGCTGAATATTTTTGGAAGTAGTTTTTAGTTTGTTTTTAGTTTTAGCTATGTTAGGGGGATATCTGTGTGTGCAGGTGACTATTACTGTGCATAATTATTAGGCAACTTAACAAAAAACAAATATATACCCATTTCAATTATTTATTATTACCAGTGAAACCAATATAACATCTCAACATTCACAAATATACATTTCTGACATTCAAAAACAAAACAAAAACAAATCAGTGACCAATATAGCCACCTTTCTTTGCAAGGACACTCAAAAGCCTGCCATCCATGGATTCTGTCAGTGTTTTGATCTGTTCACCATCAACATTGCGTGCAGCAGCAACCACAGCCTCCCAGACACTGTTCAGAGAGGTGTACTGTTTTCCCTCCTTGTAAATCTCACATTTGATGATGGACCACAGGTTCTCAATGGGGTTCAGATCAGATGAACAAGGAGGCCATGTCATTAGATTTTCTTCTTTTATACCCTTTCTTGCCAGCCACGCTGTGGAGTACTTGGACGCGTGTGATGGAGTATTGTCCTGCATGAAAATCATGTTTTTCTTGAAGGATGCAGACTTCTTCCTGTACCACTGCTTGAAGAAGGTGTCTTCCAGGAACTGGCAGTAGGACTGGGAGTTGAGCTTGACTCCATCCTCAACCAGAAAAGGCCCCACAAGCTCATCTTTGATGATACCAGCCCAAACCAGTACTCCACCTCCACCTTGCTGGCGTCTGAGTCGGACTGGAGCTCTCTGCCCTTTACCAATCCAGCCACGGGCCCATCCATCTGGCCCATCAAGACTCACTCTCATTTCATCAGTCCATAAAACCTTAGAAAAATCAGTCTTGAGATATTTCTTGGCCCAGTCTTGACGTTTCAGCTTGTGTGTCTTGTTCAGTGGTGGTCGTTGTGACGAGACCAATCTCGCCACATTGCATTGGAGAAGCCTGGTTGCTCGCCTGCTGCCTTTGGACTATGGCCCCCTTTTAAAAGACTATTTGCCTGCAGAAAAGCTGTATTCGTGCTTTTCTGCCGGTTGTTCGGTAGTTTCAATCTACCGAACAACCGCACAAATGAATAGACCACCTGGGAGCTGGAGTGTGCCGGCAATTAACCTCCCTGAAGCTGCGGTTAACCGCAGCTTAATTGATGAATGCTGGGTGGCCGCCATTCGTATCCCGAACACGAGGTCGCGGCCATTTTAAACATACGAATGCACAGCGGTGTTCGCCTCTATTTTCATGGAACTAAAATCGGACACAGTTTTGTGCGAACACCGCTGAAGTCGCCGACCTCCCTTCTTGTTCGGTGGAAGTGCACGAACGGCCCGGTGTTCGGTAGTTTTGTTAGAAAATGTTATACCCCAGATAGGAATCCCATGGAGCCCATTCGTATGAAACTGACTGTGTAAAGACTTTAGCTCCATGGCGATTAAACTGTATTCGTGTGGTCTGAGTGCCATTCACCTAATAATGTGCACTCAGACCTGAGCTATCTGGGGATATGTTATGTTATGTCTGTGTTTTGTGGAATAAATGTTACTTTATGTATTTTAAAGTATAATGCTGGTTTTGTGTCCCCACATGTGTAATGGAGTTTTGCCTTTGTCTTGGGAGATAATTGAGTTACTTCTCAATTATCTCCCAGGGCAGAGGGGAGGAAGCCAGGATGCATTGTGGGAAATACTGTGACTGTGTGTCCTATTTGTCTGCTTGTCTGTCCCTTGTCCCAGTCTCCCATTTGGTCCCCTAGGGGAGTGTCCGCCAGGTGGGAGACCTGCATAAAAGCCGGGCAGGTAGCCCTCATTAAACAGACCACTGCTTGACCCTCAACACGGAGCCTTGTCTCGTTCTTGGGGGGATTTACTGAATGCTGATAGAGACTGATTGCTAGGAGTGTAAGCCGCTTGGATGCTTTTCCTATTCGTCTGCTTACAGCAATTCGTATGGTTCCTGTTCGTGTATTTGGAGTGCTATATTGGATGCCGTTCGGGAGTTTGGAGTATTCACTTATTGGCGGTTCGTGTGTTTGGTGTTCTGCAGTAGCTGTGCCTGCATCTCCGGAAAGGGGGCCGATCGCCTACACGTTTTTTTCCCCTTTTGTGCAAAACGGTCCGTTACAGTCGTCTTTCAGCCTTTCTTACCTTGGCCATGTCTCTGAGTATTGCACACCTTGTGCTTTTGGGCACTCCAGTGATGTTGCAGCTCTGAAATATGGCCAAACTGGTGGCAAGTGGCATCGTGGCAGCTGCACGCTTGACTTTTCTCAGTTCATGGGCAGTTATTTTGCGCCTTGGTTTTTCCACACGCTTCTTGCGACCCTGTTGACTATTTTGAATGAAACGCTTGATTGTTCGATGATCACGCTTCAGAAGCTTTGCAATTTTAAGAGTGCTGCATTCCTCTGCAAGATATCTCACTATTTTTGACTTTTCTGAGCCTGTCAAGTCCTTCTTTTGACCCATTTTGCCAAAGGAAAGGAAGTTGCCTAATAATTATGCACACCTGATATAGGGTGTTGATGTCATTAGACCACACCCCTTCTCATTACAGAGATGCACATCACCTAATATGCTTAATTGGTAGTAGGCTTTCGAGCCTATACAGCTTGGAGTAAGACAACATGCATAAAGAGGTTGATGTGGTCAAAATACTCATTTGCCTAATAATTCTGCACTCCCTGTATACTATTAGAGACACATTCTAAGCATCAGAACCAATACAGCTTAATGTAATGTTTCCGGTGCAAAGAATTGGTCCCTACAGCCGCAGCAATGCAAACAACTGAGAGAAGGCAGTGTTTACATTGTGTACTAAGGCACCTCTAGAGGCTGTCACTCAATCTGCCACTCAGAGAGCCACTAGCGGAGCTTCCTATCGCAATCTCTGCAGGACCAACATTCGTATCTATAATGCGCTTTACACAGAGACACTGAACTCATAGAGATGCACTGAGTCAATGCTTGTCTATGAGGAGATGCTGATTGGTGCAGTGTCGCGTTTTGCCACGCATGTGCACTAGCCTCTAAATGGTTTATATCAGGGAAGTACTGGATTAGCTGAGATTATCTTTGATGAAGATGATCCCAGTACGTCAGGGGATTAATAAGTAAATCTTATTTATTTATTGTACATGGGGGCCCTTAATCACATCCGTATTCACAACGTCAGAGTTCCTTTCATATAATTAGAAGTGTAATTGATGGAGAATATGGAATATTTTGGTTCTTTAGCCACAAAAAGAATGTAATGTTTATATTTGAGAAGCCAGAAAATGGCAGGGTTATCTCCTCAAATGTTAAAGGAAAACTATAGGGTCAGGAAAACCAAACATGTGTTCCTGACCCTATATTGCTAAAAATGCCCCCACATCCTAAATATAGTAAACTCTTACTTTTATTCCAGTCTGCTGCTGCTGGCTCTACCCCTAATCTGCCTTCTTGACTGACATCATAACAAGTGTTGATCAAAGCCCATCACACTGCTTTCCCACAGGAAAGCATTGGATTGGCTGAGACTGACAAGGAGGCAGATCACGAGCAGCACAAGTCTAACACAGCACTGACCAATCAGTATCTCCTCGTAGAGATACATTGAACCAATGCATCTCTATGGGGAAAGTTCAGTGTCTCCATGCAGAGGATGGAGACAGTGAATGCCAGTCACACTGTGCAGCACTGCCCCAGGAAGCACCTATAGCAGTTTATGGCAAAAAAGTTTGAAGGGACTGATTATACTCACAAAAACAAATACAATAAGCTGTAGTTGTTCTGGTGACTATAGTGTCCTTTTAACATTTGCCCTCTCAAACTGAGCCTCTATGGAAAAAAAACACAAACAAATGCTAAGTCCATGTCTGATGTTAATCAGGTAGATCCATCATGTGCTGCTGGTTAAAGGGTTTTTATTTTAATATCCCTGGTTTCCATCAGTCGTGTCAATTTGGGGGCAGAAACCCAGTGAAAATACGTAACTATAATCCCATAAATTTAACCAAAGAATAACACTGTAAACGCAAGGCAACATGTAAAAGGTAATAAAACAGACATATTACTTAATTTAATCCACAGATATATTGATATCTGGTGTGAAGATAGAATCTGATTGGTTCTTGTCATATATTTACAGCATGTGGGCTCTTCACGTGTCTGGTTCAGTTACAAGGTGGAACCGCAATAGAAGACAAACTGTAATTATAGTGAATGTCTGCTTTGACACAAACATACCGCAAAAACAGATTTTAATTTAATGGGTTATTCACCAAAGTGAGAATTCAAGTTGAATTAAAAGTGAATTTAAAAGTTAAGGTAAAAATAGCTGAACTGGATACATTTTTAAAGTCCGCTCTGCTTTCAGTTCGACTGCTCTGGCCTTAAAGTGGAAAATCTTTTGGAGTGAATAACCGTGCTAGTGCAGGCACGGCAGCCAACTGGCTCTCCGGTACATACAACCGGAAGGCTAAATCTTTGTAGTGGGCTCGTTGACTGTTTTCTCTGTAACAGAAGGAAGCTTTGGCAAGTTCAGTGGTGACGCAGCAGAATTGGAAGCAACCATTGAATTAACATTCTTCTTGTTGTGGGATTTCTGGTGCTTCGTGAGGGTTGAACTACGGCTGAAAGGTTTCCCACACTCAGAACAGGTGTAAGGCTTTTCTCCACTGTGGATTCGAGAGTGTATGGTGAGGTGTGAGTGCTGGACAAAGCTTTTTCCACAGTGCACACATGTGTAGGGTTTTTCCTTGGTGTGAATCCTAGAATGAGTCATTAAGTAGGTGCTTCGACTGAAACCTTTCCCACATTCCACGCAAGTGTATGGTTTCTCTCCAGTGTGCGAACGCAGGTGATTGTTATAATCGGAGCTCTGAATGAAACGTTTCCCACATTCAGAGCAGGAATAAGGCTTCTCTCCCGTGTGAATTCTCTGGTGCCGCAGAAAAGCAGATTTGCATGGACAGCCTTTGCCACAGTAACTGCAGACATAGGCAGACTTTTGAATTTTGCCACCAAGGAAGCTGCTGGTTTCCGGAGAAATGGGACACACACTTTCGTAAGTTGTGTCATTCATCTTGTAACAATTTTGTAAGTCTAAATGTGGTGGATCTGCCTCCTCTCTTGTGGGGAGTGTGGCAGCTGCGCTTTTTGTAGGTTCTGTACATGATTTGTCTCTCCTAAACTCATATTCGGAGTTAATGTTTTGAATCTTTGTGTTGTCTGTGGTTCCTGACAAAGTACAGGAGTTTTCATAATGATTTTTGGGACTATCTTCCACTTTCACTACTCTTGTCTCTGTCAAGTGGTTGGACGTTTGAGTATCCCTGTTGCACGAACTCTTATTGGTTTCACCATCTAGGGAGTTCTTCTTCCGCTGAAACTTCCTATGGTGGGAAATGGGTCTTATATTTTCTCGTGAGCCCTTGTCATAAACAAGAAATTTGCCTAGACTGGTCCGCATGATTTTGCATGAGATTTTCTTTTCATCTTTGTAACTTTTTTTACAGCTCTCTGTTTGCTGCAAATGATCTGGTGTTTCCTCATTTTCCAATTTCACCTCTGTTTGTTGTGAATTCGACAAGCTTTCTTCTTTTCCATCTATGAGGGCCTCCCAAGATTGTGTACTGTTGTATGCAAACAGGCCATGGTCATGTTCCTCATTCTTTTTCTTGTACATGTGAAGTGTTTTTCTCCTGTGGGATTTTTTATGTTTTACAAGAGTTGAGCTTCGACTGAAGCAGTTGCCACATTCTATGCAGATGTAGGGCTTTTCCCCACTGTGGATCCGAAGGTGTAATGACAAGTGTGAGTGTTGGATGAAGCTTTTTCCGCAAACAGTACATAGATAGGGTTTCTCTTTGGTGTGAGTTCTAGAGTGAGTGACAAGGTATGTGCTGCGGCTGAAGCTTTTGCCACACTCGGCACAGGAGTATGGTTTCTCACCAGTGTGTGATCGCATATGATTGTTATAATCTGAGCTCTGGATGAAGCTTTTGCCACACTCAGTACAGTGATAAGGTTTCTCTCCTGTGTGGATTCTCTGGTGCCTGATAAAAGCAGATCGACATGGGCAGTTCTTTCCACAGTACGAACAGATGTAGATCTTTGTGGAAGGCTTCCCTTTGATGATAGACTCCACGTTGATAAATGGATATTCTCCGCCAATAGTCTCATTTCCCAAGATTTCTTGAAAGTCAAGGTGCTTCTCAAGGCAATTAGAAGGACTGTTTGTAGAGTCTGAGTTACCGTTGGCAAAACTTTCATTATGAGTTTTAACTGGGGCCTCTATAACTCTGTCAGCATAGGAGTCAGTCTTATTCATGCTATCTTCATCAGGCCTGGTAGAAGTGTCTGCTGTCTCACCAGCAAGGCTTCGGAGATGGGCAATGATGCTGGAGATGTCACTGGGACTCCGGTCAGATTGGATGCCCTTATCTGGGGAGGTCCTGGACAGAGTAATCTGCAGGGTACTAGCGCTACACATCCCCCAGCTGGAGTCTCTGGGATAGCATGAAGAAAGATCATTATCTGGCAGCTGCATCTCCTGGGGTATGAAATGTGGGGATGAAAGCCCATTCTGGCTGTTATTCATGGAGTTTCCATCTGTGTAGGAGAGAAGAAGATGGTACGAATCATAGCTTCAAAAGCGCCCGAAGATTTTAAATCTAGACTGATTTTTAAAAGCTGGCACTGGAGAGGATAATGGCATGTGAGTCCTCAATGCATACTAAATGGAAATCATAGAGAATTGATTTGTCAATTGCAAGAGGCTGGAGTGAGTAAGGTGTGACAAGATCAATGAAATAGCGCTGTGATTACTGACAAGTCAATGGACTACACAATTTACAGCCAAAGCAACATTTCAACTTTTACTTACCAGAGAGAACATTCACTCCCGCTCCACCCCTTGTAGAGAGTTGCAGCGCCCCAGAACACGTATCTGCTCCACGGTCAAGCATGGACACAATGTCAGAATGGGCTGCAGGAGGCTCTGAATTTTAAACACAAAGACACACCATCAAAGTATTTTACAAACTTATAATTTAACATTCATTACTAATGTTACTTCTCTTTACACAGGACCGACCCATTAACTATTCAGTAGGTCACTATACAAAGAGCCCTTAACCATCCAGCAGTTCACTATACACAGTGCCAGCTCCTTAACCCATCAATAGGTCACAATACACAGGGCCGACCCCTTAACCATCCAGCAGGTCACTATACACAGGGCCGACCCCTTAACCATCCAGCAGGTCACTATACACAGGACCGACCCCTTAACTATTCATTAGGTCACTATACAAAAGGCCCTTAACCATCCAGCAGGTCACTATACAAAAGGCCCTTAACCATCCAGCAGGTCACTACACACAGGGCCGACCCCTTAACTGTCCAGCAGGTCACTACACACAGGGCCGACCCCTTAACTATTCAGTAGGTCACTATACACAGGGCCGACCCCTTAACCCATCAGCAGGTCACTACACACAGGGCCGACCCCTTAACTATTCAGCAGGTCACTATACACAGGGCCGATCCCTTAACCATCCACTATACACAGGGCTGGCTCCTTAACCAGCCAGCAGGTCACTATACACAGGGCGGATCCCTTAACCATCCAGCAGGTCACTATACACAGGGCCGACCCCTTAACCATCCAGCAGGTCACTACACACAGGGCCGACCCCTTAACCCATCAGCAGGTCACTATACACAGGGACGACCCCTTAACCCATCAGCAGGTCACTATACACAGGGCCGACCCCTTAACCCATCAGCAGGTCACTACACACAGGGCCGACCCCTTAACTATTCAGCAGGTCACTATACACAGGGCCGATCCCTTAACCATCCACTATACACAGGGCTGGCTCCTTAACCCATCATAGGTCACTACACACAGGGCCGACCCCTTAACTATCCAGCAGGTCACTACACACAGGGCCGACCCCTTAACTATCCAGCAGGTCACTACACACAGGGCCGACCCCTTAACCATCCAGCAGGTCACTACACACAGGGCCGACCCCTTAACTATCCAGCAGGTCACTATACACAGGGCCGACCCCTTAATATGCGCCCAATGAAAACATGCATGCATTTAATAAGACTTTTTGTCATTGGGGCTATATCTAAAACTGTGGTCGGAGTGGTTTTCATTTGTATATATTTACAGTGAAGGAAAAAAGTATTTCATCCCCTGCTGATTTTGAAAGTTTGTCCACTGACAAAGAAATGATCAGTCTATAATTGTAATGGTAGGTGTATTTTTACTGTGAGAGACTGAATAAAAAAAAAGAAAAAAGAAAAAATCCAGAAAAACGCATGTCAAAAAAGTTATAAATTGATTTGCATGTCAATGAGTGAAATAAGTATTTGATCCCCTATCAATCAGCAATATTTCTGGCTGCCAGGTGTCTTTTATACAGGTAACGAGCTGAGATTAGGAGCAGTCTCTTAACCCCTTCAGGACGGAGTCAATAGTGCACGTTCTGATCAAAACAAAAAGTGGAATTTGCGCTATATGTCTGTCCAACCGTAATTCACATCTTTCATATTAAATGCACCCACACTTATTATATATCATTTTATTCAGGAGAAACAGGGCTTTAATTTATCATTAACTATTCATATATGGAACATAATTTATTATGAATAAAATTTAAAAAAAATGTAAAAATATAATATGATTTTTTTTAATTTGTATTTCCGTCTGACATTTTAGCTGTGAATGTCATAATACTGTTAGGTTTTACTGCAAAAAATTGCACATATTTGTAATCAGCGATGTCTCACGAGTACAACAGTACCCCTCATTAACAGGTTTTATGGTGTTTTGGAAAGTTACAGGGTCAAATATAGAATGTTCCATTTTCAAATTGAAATTTGCCAGATTAGTAATGTTACCTTTGAGATGGTATGGTAGCCCAGGAATGAGAATTACCCCCATAATGGCATACCATTTGAAAAAGTAGACAACCCAAGGTATTGAAAGTGAGGTATGTTTAGTCTTTTTAGTAGCCACTTAGTCACAAACACTGGCCAACGTTAGCGTTCATATTTGTTTTTGTGTGAAAAAAGCAAAAAACTAATATTTGGCCAGTGTTTGTGACTAAGTGGCTACTAAGAAAGATTGGACATACCCCACTTGCAATACCTTGGGTTGTCTACTTTTGCAAATAATATGCCCTCATGGGGGTAATTCTAATTCCTGGGCTACCATACGCTCTCAAAGGCAACATAACCAATCTGGCAAATTTAAATGTCAAAAAAATGAAATGCAAGTCTTACATGTGACTCTCTAACTTTCCAAAACACCATAAAACCTGTACATGGGGGGTACTGTTATTCTCGGGAGACTTCACTAAACACAAATATTAGTGTTTTAAAACTAGTATTTTTGAAAACTAATATATGTACTAATATTAAAATACACTTTGTATGACGTTATATATATATATATATATATATATATATATATATATATATATATATATATATATATATATATACACACACACACATATATATATATTTATATTAGATATACATATATTATGTATATATAAAAATACATTTATATTTTAATTTTACATGTTTAATTCTTTTTTTTTTACTTTCCCACCAGCAGGGGGACTGTCTGACATTTCAGACAGTCCCCCTGCTGGCAGATCCACAGCCAGCTATAGGGGGCCATGTGATCGTTCTTTGAGAGCGATCACATGGCCCCTGGGGGCCTCATTTGCCGGGGGAGGGCTGCCAGGCGGAGGCAAGTCCACCGGACCTCCAGGGGCTGCAAGCCGTTACGGCGTTCTATGTCGCCGCAACGGCTTTAAAGCCCTTTTAATGCGGGACGGCATAGAACGCCGTAACGGCGTTAAGGGGTTAAAGGGAGTGCTCCTAATCTCAGCTTGTTACCTGTATCAAGGACACAGAAGCAATCAATGAGATTTCAAACTCTCCACCATGGTCAAGAGCTGTCCAAGGATGTCAGGGACAAGATTGTAGAACTACACAAGGCTGGAATGGGCTACAAGACCATCGCCAAGCAGCTTGATGAGAAGGGGATAACAGTTGGTGTGATTATTCGCAAATGGAAGAAACACAAAATAACTGTCAGTCTCCCTCGGTCTGGTGCTCCATGCAAGATCTCACCTCGTGGAGTTTCAATGATCATGAGACTGGTGAGGAATCAGCCCAGAACTACACGGGAGGATCTTGTTAATCATCTCAAGGCAGCTGGGACCATAGTCACCAAGCAAACAATTGGCAACACACTACGGCATGAAGGACTGAAATCCTGCAGCACCCACAAGGTCCCCCTGCTCAAAAAAGCACATATACAGGCCGGTATGAAATTTGCCAATGAACACCTGAATGATTCAGAGAACTGGGTGAAAGTGTTGTGGTCAGATGAGATCAAAATCGAGCTCTCTGGCATCAACCCAACTTGCCATGTTTGAAGGAGGAGGAATGCTGCCTATGACCTCAAGAACACCATCCCCACCATCACACATGGAGGTGTAAACATTATGCTTTGGTGGTGGTTTTCTGCTAAGGGGACAGGACAACTGCACCACATCAAAGGAACAATGGATGGGGCAATGTACGTCAAATCTTGGGCCTTCCCTAAGCCAGGGCATTGAAAATGGGTCATGGATGGGTATTACAGCATGAAAATGACCCAAAACACACAGCCAAGGCAACAAAAGAGTGGCTCAAGAAGAAGCACATTAAGGTCCTGCAGTGGCCTAGCTAGTCTCCAGACCTTAATTCCATAGAAAATCAGTGGAGGGAGCTGAAGGTTCAAGTTGCCAAACGTCAGCCTCAAAACCTTAATGGCTTGGAGAGGATCTGCAAAGAGGAGTGGGACAAAATCCCTCCTGAGATGTGTGCAAACCTGGTGACCAACTACAAGAAACGTCTGACCTCTGTGATTGCCAACAAGGGTTTTGCCACCAAGTACTAAGTCGAAGGGGTCAAATACTTATTTCACTTATTGATATGGAAATCAATTTTATAATAATTTTTTCGACATGCATTTTTCTGGATTTTTTTTGTTATTCTGTCTCTTACTGTTAAAATACAGAAACACAGAGAAATACAGTATTGCCAGTGGGACACACATGTACTGAAATAAACCAAGAGATTTTCATACACCTTAGTGAGTACCCTTCGCCCTCACAACAAACAGAATGTACATACAATGTGAGGTGGAGTATCTTCTTGTTTAAAATAGATATTAAAATAACCTAGAGATAAAACAAAAAAGGACACATAATAGTGCAATATTGTCTAAATCTCCTATAAATTACAGGGAAGTATGTGGGAATAAACTCACAAAGCAGGAGCCTGTAGAGTAAGGCTCAACCTTCCAGCGTTGTGGGATTTAGGTTCCCACTCCCTTCTTTATACTGCTAGGAGGTGATGAATAATGGGATGTCCTCTCACAGGTAGGTATAAATGGTGAAAAGTGCTTTATTAATAAAGTGCACAAGTAAAATATAAAAACAAAACCTTACAGTTGAAGGTAATCTTGTAGAGATAGTCTCTGGTAGCAAAACGCGTTTCACCTCATGTAGAGGCTTCCTCAGTTGCTGTAGATACTTGCTGTGAATGTTCTTTATTTGTAGTTTAAATTTCGCGCCCTTTTTCTGGCTTAATTGTTCGCCATTAAAGAATTAAACACAGTGGAACGCAGAGACACATCCCTATACATGAAAACAGGAATTGAAACGCATGCGTTCCACTGTTGGAACGCAAATGCCGAAACCGGAAGTTACTGAACCAATGCGTTCCACTTGTGGAACGCGGAAGTGAAAATACCGCGATCGAACAATTAAGCCAGAAAAAGGGCGCGAAATTTAAACTACAAATAAAGAACATTCACAGCAAGTATCTACAGCAACTGAGGAAGCCTCTACATGAGGTGAAACGCGTTTTGCTACCAGAGACTATCTCTACAAGATTACCTTCAACTGTAAGGTTTTGTTTTTATATTTTACTTGTGCACTTTATTAATAAAGCACTTTTCACCATTTATACCTACCTGTGAGAGGACATCCCATTATTCATCACCTCCTAGCAGTATAAAGAAGGGAGTGGGAACCTAAATCCCACAACGCTGGAAGGTTGAGCCTTACTCTACAGGCTCCTGCTTTGTGAGTTTATTCCCACATACTTCCCTGTAATTTATAGGAGATTTAGACAATATTGCACTATTATGTGTCCTTTTTTGTTTAATCTCTAGGTTATTTTAATATCTATTTTAAACAAGAAGATACTCCACCTCATATTGTATGTATATACTGTTAAAATACACCTACCATTAAAATTATAGACTGACCCTTTCTTTGTCAGTGGACAAACTAATCAAATACTTTTTCCCCTCACTGTTTATGCTCATATAGGTGTGATACTAATGGTGACTCCCAGTTTGACTATGGTGTTATTTCTGAGCCTTCCTCAATATCTCCTGCACCACTGTGTCATTTCTGACCCTTCCCCACATCTCCTGCACTATGGCGTCAGTTTTGAACCTTTCCCGCATCTCCTGCACCATGGCGTCATTTGTGAACTTTCCCCACGTCTTCTGCACCTCCGCAGGCTGGACATAAAAGCCAGAAGTGACATTATTGAAGACATAAGCACTGGAAACATTATCCACAGAGCAATTCAACCAATATCTACCCTAGATAGTCATATAAACAGCCAAAGAGCATTTATTATATTCAGAATTCACAAGAGAAAACAGTATCAATTCCCAGGCTGTGTGCAAAAGTAAGCTCATATTCACCATCTCAAGATCCTTCCATGATTCCATCATTCTAGGGTTAGAATACAGCCGATGTGATATAGTAACAATATAGCTGGGTTATTAGACTACACAAGACTAGCGCGTGATACGTCAAATCTTGGGCCTTCCCTCAGCCAGGGCATTGAAAAGGGGTCAGTGAACACAGAAAATGTCCAACATACCAAAGAAGAAGAGGTCAAGATCGAATTCTCCATCATCTCGACCCTGCAAGGTTCCTTCAGACATTCTCCTTGGTCTTTGTGGTCCATGGAGTGTTCAGCAATGTCTTCATAGAACCATCAAAGCACTAAAAATGGTGAGAGAACGTATGTGAGATGTGACCTATCAACCTAAATAGCTGATTGGAGTTAATGTATAACAATGACCAGGATGAAAGACCTGATTTTACATTAACTCTGGAATCCACTGGTGATGCTACAGAACTTGTATTAAAACTGAAATATCAGTCTGGCCCATGTTATAGCTTAGTGTTCAGTGCTGGCCCATCCATCAACACTCACTGCTCCCTGCTGATTATATGACCGCAGGACAGGTCCACTGAATGGATACCTCCCAACTATGTCCACATACACTATGTAACTACTTGCGGCTTTACGTTTTACCACCAAGCTCCTAAGAAGACTTGTCTGGAAAGGCTTTGATGACAATTTGAAATGTCAGTTTCTATAGCAACTGGTAATGTTGTGATCCCTCCAAGGACAGAGTCATTTTTTTAAATCATTTTTTTGAGGGATATTCTCATTAAGTGTTACACGGCTCAAACATTAAATGGAGGGACAGCGCCAGGGGAATCCAGACACTATAACCACTTCAATGAGATAGAATGGTTTAACGCTGAATGGAGGGACAGCGCCAGAGGACTCCAGGCACTATAACCACTTCAATGAGATAGAATGGTTTAACATTAAATGGAGGGACAGCGCCAGGGGACTCCAGGCACTATAACCACTTCAATGAGATAGAATGGTTTAACGCTGAATGGAGGGACAGCGCCAGAGGACTCCAGGCACTATAACCACTTCAATGAGATAGAATGGTTTAACATTAAATGGAGGGACAGCGCCAGGGGACTCCAGGCACTATAACCACTTCAATGAGATAGAATGGTTTAACGCTGAATGGAGGGACAGCGCCAGGGGACTCCAGGCACTATAATCACTTCAATGAGATAGAATGGTTTAACATTGAATGGAGGGACAGCGCCAGGGAACTCAAGACACTATAACCACTTTAATGAGATGAAATGGTTTAACAATGAATGGAGGGACAGCACCAAGGGATTGCCAGCACTATAACCACTTCAATGAGACCGAATGGTGTAACATTAAATGGAGGGACAGCCCCAAGGACCTTCAGGCACTATAACCACTTCAATGAGAGGAAATGATTTAACATTAAATGGAGGGACAGTGCCAGGGGACTGCCGCCACTATAACCACTTCAATGAGACAGATTGGTTTAACATTAAATGGAGAGACAGCGCCAGGGGACTCCAGGCAATATAACCACTTCAATTAGATGGAATGGTTTAACACTGAATGGAGAGACAGACGCATTGGTCACCAGGCACTATAACTACTTTAATGTCATGAAATGGTTATATAACCTATAGTCGCACTGCTCAATTCTCTGCCATTTAGGAGTTAAATCAATTTGCTTATTCCACCATAGTCACATCTCCCCTGGACACATGAAAGTAGGGTTTAGAGGTCGGACACTTACATGGCTGCATTCTTCATCCGATAGGAAACTACAGGGGTATTTGGGGTATTCATGAGCTGTAAGCCATAATCATCGCACTTATGACAAATCACGGCTTGAACTATCTTGCTTTGCATGTAATGCGCCTATCTCATATATTAGTTTCCCCTTTTACGTTGCATTACTGAAATAAATGAACTTTTGTACGATATTCTAATTTTTCGAGTATCACCTGCATGTAAAGACAGAGAGAAGACCCTCGGCAGGATCAAATTGTAATAGGTCAAATAATACATATAGGGCAATTGTAATTAAATATTAATTTCCTGTTTTTTTTTAAGTTTACTACATTTAATGAAACAATGAATTTTATTTTTAAATGCCGTGTATTCCAATCTCTCTTTTTATCTCTGTTTATTCATTTATTACGTATTCCACTGTTACGTTATTTGTCTGTGTTACTTTATTCTATATATTATTATGATTGGACCAAGTGTCAGCACTAGGATTATTTTGATAGGTCTAGGAGTCAATTTGTGTATTTTTTGTAGTTTGGGATTTGTTCTTGTGGCGGTATACCCTCTCGAAGATGAGTTATTACCGCCTAGGTCGCCCCTTCCAGTTGTGATTATAGTCGCATGCCAAAGGGTAACCGCGGAATCACTCTAACACTAGTCGAGACTTAGTGAAGGGTGAAGAAGAACTGTTTTATTCCGGCCAGATGGCCCACTTATATACAATTCCAGTGTACAGAAACCACGCCCAATACCAAACCCACAATATGCCCTCAGTGTCAGCATGACTCAGCACAAAACCATATAAACATCAAAAATATACACAAAACATATATACACTGTGCCATGCCCTATATCACCTGAAAGGTCTCTTTGGAGCGCCCACTGTGTCCAAAAAAAGTGCTGGAATAGGAGCTGGCTAGCCCGAATTACAAGGAGGTTTGAAGTTCAGCGGTACGCGGCTAGCCCCCGATCCGGCACAGAGTTCCAATGTCCTAGGTGGGTCTCCTCGGTCATTAATTAACTGCGGCGCTTTCGAACAATCATAGGCCAGTGAAATAGCGCCCTGATCCATGGGCCAGGACCAAAAGGGGTTTTGTTAAAGTTTTACCGACTCGTGGTGTTCGCTCGAGCCGAATAGGGGTTCCAGACTGGTTGATGGTAGCTCCCGGTCACACCCCTTTTCCCTCATTGGTTAATACCAGCAACTGGCACGCCTCTTTTGAGGGGTCCATCACAGTTCTCTATATAACCTTGCATGGGGTCAGTCCTGTATTTATTTCATGACTTTTCTTAGCGCTGACTCTTGCGTTATTTACCTTCCTACTTTCTGAGGGGTGTGTATTTTCGTTACCAAATCTGCTCCTGTCCACCATCTTGTCTATAGCATCTTTCCTCCGAAATCTCGCATTTTGCTAAATTTCATTCTTCTGATAATCAGCCGTAGAGTGATTCTTCCTGTCAGAAAGGGGTGTTAGTTATATGTTTGAATTTTATGATTTGTCCTATCGTGTAATTTACCACAAATACTATTCCTTTTCAGGAGACGGCTAACTTCCAGCAACACCCAAGGATGAAACCCAAAAGAATAAGCAATGACCTGGACACGACCAGAGTGCTGGGAGCAGTGACATGCCCCCTTCTCAATCCAGGAGCAGTGACATGTCCCCCTCTCAATCCTGGAGCAGTGACATGTCCCCCTCTCAATCCAGGAGCAGTGACATGCCCCCTTCTTAATCCAGGAGCAGTGACATGCCCCCTTCTCAATCCAGGAGCAGTGACATGCCCCCTTCTCAATCCAGAAGCAGTGACATGCCCCCCTCTCAATCCAGGAGCAGTCACATGTCCCCCTCTCAATCCAGGAGCAGTGACATGCCCCCCTCTCAATCCTGGAGCAGTGACATGCCCCCCTCTCAATCCAGGAGCAATGACATGTCCCCTCTCAATCCAGGAGCAGTGACATGTCCCCTTCTCAATCCAGGAGCAGTGACATGTCCTCCTCTCAATCCTGGGCAGTGACATGCCCCCTTCTCAATCCAGGAGCAGTGACATGTCCCCCTCTCAATCCAGGAGCAGTGACATGTCCCCCTCTCAATCCTGGAGCAGTGACATGTCCCCCTCTCAATCCTGGAGCAGTGACATGTCCCCCTCTCAATCCTGGAGCAGTGACATGTCCCCCTCTCAATCCTGGAGCAGTGACATGTCCCCCTCTCAATCCTGGAGCAGTGACATGTCCCCCTCTCAATCCAGGAGCAGTGACATGTCCCCCTCTCAATCCAGGAGCAGTGACATGTCCCCCTCTCAATCCAGGAGCAATGACATGTCCCCCTCTCAATCCAGGAGCAATGACATGTCCCCTCTAAATCCAGGAGCAATGACATGTCCCCCTCTCAATCCAGGAGCAGTGACATGTCGCCCCCCCCCCAAAACCTCACCCCATAGTAATAATAATAATACTTTGCTCCCCCTCCAGTAATAATAATACTTTGCTCCCCCCTGTAATAATAATACTTTGTCCCCATCCCCCAGTAATAATAATAATACTTTGCTCCCCCCCTAGTAATAATACTTTGCTCCCCCCAGTAATAATAATAATACTTTGCTCCCCCCAGTAATAATAATAATAATAATAATAATAAATAATAATACTTTGCTCCCCCCCTAGTAATAATAATTTGCTCCCCCCAGTAATAATAATAATAATAATAATAATAATAATAATAATACTTTGCTACCCCAGTAATAATAATAATAATAATAATAATAATAATAATAATAATACTTTGCTCCCCCAAGTAATAATAATATTAATACTTTGCTCCCCCAGTACTACTAATAATAATAATACTTTGCTCCCCTCCCCCGTAATAATAATAGTAGTAATACTTTGCTCCCCCAATAATAATAATAATAATAATAATAATAATAATAATAATAATAATAATAATACTTTGCTGCCCCCAGTAATAATAATACAAATACTATTCCTTTTCAGGAGACGGCTAACTTCCAGCAACACCCAAGGATGAAACCCAAAAGAATAAGCAATGACCTGGACACGACCAGAGTGCTGGGAGCAGTGACATGCCCCCTTCTCAATCCAGGAGCAGTGACATGCCCCCTTCTCAATCCAGGAGCAGTGACATGCCCCCTTCTCAATCCAGAAGCAGTGACATGCCCCACTCTCAATCCAGGAGCAGTCACATGTCCCCCTCTCAATCCAGGAGCAGTGACATGCCCCCCTCTCAATCCTGGAGCAGTGACATGCCCCCCTCTCAATCCAGGAGCAATGACATGTCCCCTCTAAATCCAGGAGCAGTGACATGTCCCCCTCTCAATCCAGGAGCAGTGACATGTCCCCCTTCTCAATCCTGGAGCAGTGACATGTCCCCCTTCTCAATCCTGGAGCAGTGACATGTTCCCGTCTCAATCCAGGAGCAGTGACATGTCCCCCTCTCAATCCAGGAGCAGTGACATGTCCACCTCTCAATCCGGGAGCAGTGACATGTCCACCTCTCAATCCAGGAGCAGTGACATGTCCCCCTCTCAAGCCAGGAGCAGTGACATGTCCCCCTCTCAAGCCAGGAGCAGTGACATGTCCCCCTCTCAATCCAGGAGCAATGACATGTCCCCCTCTCAATCCAGGAGCAGTGACATGTCGCCCCCCCCCCAAAACCTCACCCCATAGTAATAATAATAATACTTTGCTCCCCCTCCAGTAATAATAATACTTTGCTCCCCCCTGTAATAATAATACTTTGTCCCCATCCCCCAGTAATAATAATAATACTTTGCTCCCCCCCAGTAATAATAATACTTTGCTCCCCCCCTGTAATAATAATACTTTGTCCCCATCCCCCAGTAATAATAATAATACTTTGCTCCCCCCCTAGTAATAATACTTTGCTCCCCCCAGTAATAATAATAATAATAATGCTTTGCTCCCCCCAGTAATAATAATAATAATAATACTTTGCTCCCCCCCAGTAATAATAATAATAATAATAATAATAATAATAATAATAATAATACTTTGCTCTCCCCCAGTAATAATAATAATAATACTTTGCTCTCCCCCAGTAATAATAATAATAATACTTTGCTCCCCCCAGTAATAATAATAATAATAATAATAATAATAATAATAATAATACTTTGCTCTCCCACCAGTAATAATAGTAATAATAATACTTTGCTCCCCAGTAATATATTAATAATAATAATAATAGTAATAATAATACTTTGCTCCCCCCCAGTAATAATAATAATAATAATAATACTTTGCTCTCCCACCAGTAATAATAGTAATAATAATACTTTGCTCACCCCCCAGTAATAATAATAATAATAATGCTTTGCTCCCCCCAGTAATAATAATAATAATAATACTTTGCTCCCCACCAGTAATAATAATAATAATAATAATAATAATAATAATAATAATAATACTTTGCTCTCCCACCAGTAATAATAGTAATAATAATACTTTGCTCACCCCCCAGTAATAATAATAATAATGCTTTGCTCCCCCCAGTAATAATAATAATAATAATAATACTTTGCTCCCCCCCAGTAATAATAATAATAATAATAATAATAATAATACTTTGCTCCCCCCCAGTAATAATAATAATAATAATGCTTTGCTCCCCCCAGTAATAATAATAATAATAATAATAATACTTTGCTCACCCCCAGTAATAATAATAATAATACTTTGCTCCCCCCGGTAATAATAATAATACTTTGCTCCCCCCCAGTTAATAATAATAATAATACTTTGCTCTCCCACCAGTAATAATAGTAATAATAATACTTTGCTCCCCCCCAGTAATAATAATAATAATAATAATAATAATACTTTGCTCTCCCACCAGTAATAATAGTAATAATAATACTTTGCTCCCCCCCAGTAATAATAATAATAATAATAATAATAATACTTTGCTCTCCCACCAGTAATAATAGTAATAATAATACTTTGCTCCCCCCCAGTAATAATAATAATAATAATAATAATACTTTGCTCCCCCCAGTAGTAATATTTTGGGGTCCCCCCCCCCTCCAGTAGTAAGATTTTGGGGTCCCCCCCCTCCAGTAGTAATATTTTGGGGTCCCCCTCCCCCAGTAGTAATATTTTGGGGTCCCCCTCCAGTAGTAATATTTTGGGGTCCCCCCCCTCCAGTAGTAATATTTTGGGGTCCCCCCCCTCCAGTAGTAATATTTTGGGGTCCCCCATCCCCAGGCTCCCAGTAACCTGCTCTCAGGCCGGTGGTGTAAAGCTCAGTCTGTCTCCCCAGCGCTGACAGTGAGGAGGAGGAGCCGGGGCGCGGTGCATGCCGGGATATGGAGTCCTGCTGCCATCACACACTGCGTTACATCCTGACACCGGAACTACATATCCCAGCAGCGGCAGCTCGCGATCTCGCTGTGACAGGGCCGGGGCGCGCTGCATGCCGGGATATGGAGTCCTGCTGCCACCTCACACTGCGTTACATCCTGACACCGGAACTACATATCCCAGCAGCGGCAGCTCGCGATCTCGCTGTGACAGGGCCGGGGCGCGCTGCATGCCGGGATATGGAGTCCTGCTGCCACCTCACACTGCGTTACATCCTGACACCGGAACTACATATCCCAGCAGCGGCAGCTCGCGATCTCGCTGTGACAGGGCTGGGGCGCGCTGCATGCCGGGATATGGAGTCCTGCTGCCATCACACACTGCGTTACATCCTGACACCGGAACTACATATCCCAGCAGCGGCAGCTCGCGATCTCGCTGTGACAGGGCCGGGGCGCGCTGCATGCCGGGATATGGAGTCCTGCTGCCACCTCACACTGCGTTACATCCTGACACCGGAACTACATATCCGGCATGCAGCGCGGCTCCGCCTTCCCTGGCTGCGTCAGAGCTGGGACCCCCAGAGGGGCAGTTGGGGGCACTGGCTGGCACCCTGCCGGGGTAAGAGGGGCAGCACAGTGACGGGGTGAGGGGCAGGATCTGGGCAGGAACGGGCGGAGCCAACAGCTGCTTCCGGTCACTGGAGCCTCCCTGAGCTGCAACATCCAGGTATCACCTCAGGTGGGATTACCCAGAGAGCACCGCGGGCACCACCTGGGGGAGGAGAGAGGGAGAGAGCACCGGCGGCACACTGACGACTGACTGAGACTGAGAGACTGACTGACTGAGAGACTGACTGGCTGACTGATATACTGACTGACTGACTGAGAGACGGTGGCCCAGGACTGACTGACTGACTGACTGAGACTGACTGACTGACTGAGAGACTGGGGCGGCTGACTTGACTGACTGAGAGACTGAGACTGACGGCTAGGGCAGCTGACTGAGACTGACTGACTGACTGAGACTGAGACTGACTGGCTAGGACTGACAGCTAGAGACTGACTGACTGACTGACTGAGAGACTGAGACCCGGCTGGCGTGACTGAGGAGGACGGCCCAGCTGAGAGACTGACTGACTGAGAGACTGACTGACTGAGACTGACTGACTGACTGACTGAGACTGACAGACTGACTGACTGACTGAGAGACTGACTGACTGAGAGACTGACTGACTGACTGACTGACTGACTGAGAGACTGACTGAGATTGACTGACTGAGACTGACTGACTGACTGATATACTGACTGATAGACTGACTGACTGACTGATATACTGACTGATAGACAGACTGACTGACTGAGAGACTGACTGACTGAGACTGACTGACTGACTGAGAGACTGACTGACTGACTG